TAGTCCGAACTACCATTACTCCTCGTGGAATGAGGAGTAATGGTAGTTCGGACTAGGAAGCCTAGTCCGAACTACCTAGTCCATGCCGCGTGTAGCCGCGCGGCACGGGGTTCGAACGAGCCGAGATTTAAAAATGACGGCGCCCGGCTTAATCAAATGAAGCCTGGGAAATTCAAATCCCAGGCTTCATTTGCAAGTGTGGTATGCCTACATTACCCTCCTAGTTCGAACTCAGAGGGTAGCGTAGACATACCCCGAGATAGAAAGGGAAAAGGACGTGGAGGAGAGACCTGAAAATCCCATTTTATGATGGGCTAATTGGCTAGTTGTTATATATTGATAGAAACGGTTATAACAATATGAGTGCTGAACGCAGCAATTATTTTACAGATGTAATATGAAATATGTACAGTGTTTCTCTGACTCAGGTGAATAGCCTTCACCTGCATATAGGAATGTAGGAGCGATGCAATCAAAATGGTCCTTTAAGGACTCATTATCAATGAATCTATGATGCACATCCCGATGTTCCAATCCAATCTGCAAACATAAACCTCGGCACTTATGCAAAATGGCAGGGGAGTCAAGAAATTCTCGGCATTAAAACGCTGCTGAAAATGGTACAATCTGCACAAAACAGGGGAAGACATTTTATGAAATATTTCTCACGTTCAGCTATTTCCTTTTTTTGACATTTCAAATTTTCCATATATGAAAACAAGGTGCTACTTTCACTAAATATTCTCACTTGATGCTTTAATGAACTTCAGAACTGGTCAGAAGGTTTCTCATTCATTCATTCATTCATTCATTCATTCATTCATTCATTCATAGGTTTCACATCCTAATTTCCTGACAGCTTTGAAAGAGATTGTTTCAAAGCACAAAATATTAATAAAAAAACTTGAGGGTCATCTCAGGAAGTACAAGAAAACAGTTACGACTTTCCTTCTGCCTAAACCTTTGCACTAAATCTACTTTTCCTTCACTGATTTCTCCAGTTCTGTGGAAAGAGGGTGTTTCCTACAGTTTTTCTCAGGGCTCCCTTCACCTCTTTGTTCCTCAGTGTGTATATTATGGGGTTCAACATTGGTGACACAATTACGTTCATGAGGGAAATCATTTGATCACTCTCGGGTCTAGAGCTAGACTTGACCCCCAGGTAGGTGATCAGTGCGAGTCCATAGAACAAAGTCACCACCATGAGGTGGGAGGAGCAAGTGGAGAACGCCTTACGTCTCCCCTCTGCCGACGGCAGCTTGAGAACGGTGCAGATAATGACGATGTAGGACAGGATTATCAATAGAAAAGGGCCCATGATGAACACAACTGTCACAGTCAAGACCATGATGTCGTTTTTTGATGTGTCGGCGCAGGCCATCTTCAGCACGGGTGGGATGTCACAGAAGAAGTGGTGGATGCGGTTGGAGCCACAGAAGGGCAGGCTGAAGATCCAAGTGGTCTGAGCTACTTCCACCGAGATGCCAAAAAACCATGAAGCCCCCGCGAGCTGTGCACACGCCCGGCCGCTCATGATGGTGGTGTAGTGCAGGGGGTGGCAGATGGCTGCATAGCGGTCGTAGGCCATGGCTGCGAGGAGGCAGCATTCTGTGAGACACATAATAGTGTCGACATACATCTGGGCTGCACAGCCAGCAAGGGAGATGGTCTTTTCCTCCACCAGTAGGTGAACCAGCAGCTGTGGGACCACACTGGAGGTGAAGCAGATTTCCAGGAAGGACAGGTTGACCAGGAAGAAATACATGGGGGTGTGCAGGGAGGGATTAAGCTTAATCAGGAGAATAACGAGCAGGTTCCCCAACAGAGTAACTATGTACATGGCCAGAAGCACCAGAAACAGAAGGATTTGCAGGTCGCCAAGGTAGGAAAACCCCAGCAGGATGAACCCGTCAGAGATGGTCTGGTTCTTGCCGGCTTCACCCTTGGAATAGGTCATCTGCAGGGATGAGAAAGACAGAGAGGGAATCTGAAGAAAACCAAATCTGTGGATGTGAGTGAAAAACAATTGATACACGTTTCATTTCTGTTACTGCAGTTCTGCACAGAAATACATAACCTGGTCAAATCTTCTTCTGGTTCCTCCTGTGGTAGCTGTAGATAGAAACCAATCAAGCTATGCCAAGGTGGAACAGCTGGAGAGATGTTCTATGACCCCAGTGGAATTACAGAAGATCGTAATCTAATACATGAGCTCTTAAAAAGCTAGAATAGTTTGTTCCCACAATGGAGACATTACTGCTTCCAGTACTGAGGAGTTCTATTTATTTCCTCTCTGCTAACAGCTGTCACTAAGCTAGGGGAAGAGGTAGATATGTCTGACGGCAGGGAGAGGGTCTAGAGTGACCTAGACACATTGGAGGATTGGGCCAAAGGAAATCTGACGAGGTTCAACAAGGACAAGTATAGAGTCCTGCACTTGGGATGGAAGAATCCCAAATATTGTTACAGGCTGGGGACCGACTGGTTAAGCAGCAGTTCAACACAAATGGACCTGGAGATTATGGTGGATGAGAAGCTGGATATGAGTTAATAGGGTGCCCTTGTAGCCAAGAAGGCTAATGGCATATTAGGGTGCATTAGGAGAAGTATTGCCAGCAGATCTAGAGAAGTGATTATTCCCCTTTATTCATCACCGGGGAGGCCACATCTGGAGTGTTGTGTCCAGTTCTGCCCCCTTCCCACTACAGAAAGGACGTGGACGCATGGGAGAGGGTCCAGCGGAGGGCAACGAAAATGATTCAGGGGCTGAAGCACATGACCTGTGAGGAGAGGCTGAGGGATTTGGGCTTGTTCAATCTGCAGAAGAGAAGAGTGAGGGGGGATTTGAGAGCAGCCTGCAACTCCCTGAAAGAGGGTTTCAAAGAGGATGGAGAGAGGCTGTTCTCAGTGGGGGCAGGTGGCAGGACAAGGACCAATGAGTGGTGTCAAGTTGCAGTGGGGGAGGTCTAGGTTGGATATTAAGAAAAACTATTTCCCGAGGAGGGTGGTGAATTGCTGGGATGGGCATCCTAGGGAGGGGGTGGAATCTCCATCCTTACAGGTTTTTAAGTCCTGGCTTGAAACAGCCCTGGCTGGGATGTTGAGTTGGGGCTGGTCCTGCTCTGGGCAGGGGGCTGGACTCGATGACTCCTTAGGTCTCTGCCATTCTGTGATTCTATGATTGCCAAAAAGCACATTCCAGGTGTCTCTCAATATCCAAAAGCAGAGTCATGGCCAAAACTGAAACGTGCCATCAACACCAGTGTTTTCTCCTGGAAAACATTGATCTGCATTAAACCAGTTTTTCAGCATTGATTCTAAATGAATGATTGATTGGCTGACATTTGCATCTGTTCTACATCAGTGGAGATGTTTACTCACCCTAAGCTAACACAGCTGGGCATAGATCATCCAATAAATTATTCAACTGCATTGGAAGCAAATTTTTATATCAGAAGGGTGAGAAAGCTACTGGGGGGAAGCTGTTCTAGATTTGATTTTAACAAACAGGGAGGAACAGGTCAAGAATTTGAAAGTGGACGGCAGCTGGGGAGAAAGTGACCATGAAATCAGAGAGTTCATGATTCCAAGGAATGGGAGAAGGGAGAACAGAAAAATAGGGACCGTGGATTTCAGGAAGGCAAGGTTCCATGGGAAGCAACACTAAGGAAAAATAACCGAAGAGAGTTGGCAGTTTCTCAAAGGGACATTATAGAGGACCCACTGTGTAGGAAAGATAGAAAGTCTGGCAAAAGACAGCCTTGGTTAATTCAGATCTTTCGTGGTCAAAAAAATCAAAAAGGAGTCCTATAAAAAGTCAAAACTGAGACAAATTACCAAGGATGACTATAAGGACACAATATAGGAATGCAGTGGCAAGATCAAACAGGCAAAGGCACAAAACGAACTCAAACTAGCTACAGACATCAAGGGAAACAAGAAGACACTCTATAAATATATTAGAAGCAAGAAGAAGACCAAGGACAGGGTAGGCTCATTGCTCAGTGAGGAGGGAGAAACAATAACAGGAAACATGGAAAAGGCAAAGGTGCTTAATGACTTCTTTGTTTCAGTCTTCACCAATAAGTCTGATGATGAAGGAATGCCTAACAGTGAATGCTAGTGGAAATGAGATAGGTTTAGAAGATAAAATAAAATACTTAGAAAGGTTAGATGTCTTCAAGTCACCAGGACCTGATGAAATGCATCCTAGAATACTCAAAGAGCTGATAGAGAACTCAGCTGAGCCTTTATCTATCATCTTTGAAATTATGGAAGTCGGGAGAGATTCCAGAAGACTGGAAAAAGGCAAATCTAGTGCCCGTCTATGAAAAGAGAGAGAAGAACAACCCAGGAAACTACAGATATCAGTTTAACTTCTGTGTCAGGGAAGATAATGGAGAAAGATATTAAGGAAATCATCTGCAAACAACTGGAAGATAATAAGGTGATAGGTAAAGTCAGCATGGATTGTTAAAAAACAAGTGATGTCAAACCAATCTGGTAGCTTTCTTTGATAGGATAACAAGTTTTGTGAATAAGGGAGAAGCGTGGATGTGGTATACCTAGACTTTCATACGGCATTTGATACAGTCTTGTACGACATTTTATAAATAAACTAGGCAAATACAAGTTAGAATGAGCTACTGTAAGGTGGGTGCAATACTAGCTGGATAACAGTTCTCAGAGAGTAGTTACTAACAATTCACAATCACACTGGAAGGGGGGTTCCTTAGAGGTCTGTTTTGGGACCGGTTCTGTTCAATATCTTCATCGATGATTTAGATGATGGCATAGAGAGTATGATTATTAAGTTTGCAGATGATACCTAGCTGGGAGGGATTGCAAGTGCTTTGGAGGATAGAGTCAAAATTCAAAACAATGTGGAGAAACTAGAGAAATGATCTGAGGTAAATAGGATGAAGTTTAATAAGGAAAAATGCCCAGTATTCCAGGTAGGAAGGAACAATCAGTCTCACATGTACACAATGGGAAGCATGTATCTAGGAAGGAGTCCTGTAAAAAGGAGTCAGAGTGGCCCACAAACTAAATATGAGCCAACAATGTGACACTGTTGCAAAAAAAAGCCAATGTGATTCTGGGATGCATTAAAGACACGAGAAGTCATTCTTCCCTGTACTCTGCGCTGGTTAGGCCTCAGTTGGATTTTTCTGTCCAGTTCTGGGCACCACATTTCAAACAGATGTGGAGAAATTGGAAAAGGTCCAGAGAAAAGCATCAAGAACGATGGAAGGTCTAGAAAACATGTGCTTTGAGGGAAGACAGAAAGAATTGGGCTTGTTTAGTTTAGACAAGAGAAGACTGAGAGGGGACATGAGTGCAGTTTTCAAGTATCTAAAAAGGTGTTACAAGGAGGAGGGAGAAAAATTGTTTTCCTTGGTCTCTGAGGACAGAACAAGAAGCAATGGGCTTAAACTACAGCAAGGGAGGTTTAGGTTGGACATTTGGAAAAGCTTCCTAACTAACGAGCTGGTTAAGCGCTGGTATAGATTGTCTAGGGAGGTTGTGAAATCTCCATTCCTGGAAATATTTAAGAGCAGACTAAACAGGGATGGTCTAGATGGTGATTCATCCTGCCGTGTGGGCAGGGGATTGGATCTGATGATCTCTCGAGATCCCTTCCAGTTCTAATGTTCTGTGATTCCATAATAAGGAAGAAAGTCTGGGTAGATTCTTGTCAGTGGTATTAGAGAGATATTTTCTGGGCTCAGAAAAGTCCTCTGGACACACCACAAATGCAACACAAAGAATTATGAATTGTTGCTGCTCTTGTTTGAGTCTCACCTGTCACTCTTCTTGGCTATATGGAATTCCGGCACCACAACATCATCTAGTGTAAATTAGCATCACACCCCAAAACATGATCCATGATAGTTTTGTTAGCTGAATAAAATCAGTGATCTAGAGATGAATTGATGCACTAATAAGTGGACTGGCCGAGATAGATAGATCGATAGATGGATAGATCGATAGATAGAGTTGAACACCCTCACAACCCATGTGCTTAGACACACAGTAAGCGACATGGTTTTGCTGTCCGGGGTACAAGGCTGATCAACATCCCTGGGCAAATGGCTACAGTTTAGTTCATTCATTCTCAGCCTACCTTGTTTGAGCAGAGTGGTTCCACCTCCTCGCTTCGGGCACTAAATGTGCTGAGGGAACAGGGGGTTTTATTTCCTTCCCTGGCTTCTGGGACTCAATCCCTGGAGGACGTGTCTTGCCCTGTTCTCCACATGAAGAGCAGCCCCACCTGGAACTGTAAGAAAACAAGACTCCCCCGGCCAGTCATGTCAGAGGAGACTGTAACATCGTCCCCTTCAGTGTCATCAGCCCCATCGCCCGGTGGGCTTGTAGATGAAATTCACTCTGGGACTTTCTGACTTGAGTAAATTCTGGGAAAGTTTGCTCAAGGGGAAAGAGGGATGATCTGTCCCAGAGAACGCAACACACAGAGTCAGGGAGGGGCAGGAACAACCCCCAGGGCTCATGGCTCCCTGAGGCTCAGACTCTTGGCCCCAGTCTAGTGTCAGAGGTAGGCAGAGACCCCTAGAGCTCTGACTCAGTCCGTGCTTCTGGCAGTGCTGCAGCCTGGCACTAGGGGGTGCCGAGTGACAGGGCTGAATCGGGAGGGCTCGGTAGGATGGTCTCAGGTGGGTGGATCCCAATACCCCAGCCTGGCACTAGAGGGCGCTGAGCGACAGAACTGGTCAGAGGGCTTTGTGGGATGGTCTCAGGTAAGGGGATCCCAGCCTGGCACTAGGGGGCACTGAGCGACAGGGAACAGGGTGCGTGACTCATTCGGGGACATTCTCTTCTGGGGTGCATCACTGACCCCAGGATCCCAGGCCAGCCACAAGGGGCGACGCGCTGCCTAGAGCTCGGTGTGTCCGTGGGGGTCACAAGGAGCAGGGTGGGGCTTCGGCTGTGGGCCTGCCCCTTCAGAATTGCTGCTTAGCTCAGGCCCCGGCATGGCCCTCCCAGACCCCATGCTTCAGGGGATGGGACGGGAGGTTCTCCCCTTGGGGCTGTTGCTGACCCATAGCAACACACCATAGAAGAAGGGTCACGGTGTCTGGTGGCAGCTCGCACAATATTGACCAGAATTTTATTAACACAATTAGGAAATTCACTAGCACAGCATCCTGGCTAGGCAGGCGGCCCACAGTACGGTAAGATCCGAACTCCCATCAACTGACACCTCCTTTGCAAAGCAACCCAAAGTGTCTCTCTTCCCCTCACCACCATGAGTGGCCATTACACATTTATGTCACACCCCATACAGCCCAGGATATAGTTTTTCACATGTTGCATGGATGCGGTTGTGCCTAATGCTGATTCAGCAGGGGGCACCTGATGCTTTTCCTTATTGCAGTCCATCGGCATAGTCTATCAGGATGGCCATCTCCCATACGCTGTTGATTAGTGGATGATCGTCACTGCAGTGATCAATGTTCCAGAGTTTGATTTAGAAGGTCTAGTAAAGACCTGCTAAATGGACCCGGACTCAATGGAGTGATTTCTCCATTGCAAGGATGCTTCTGGATCTCAGCTTAGGAGATGTTGAGTCCAGCTACAATGCTTACGTTACTAGGATTGCGAACCTTCAGCCGACCTTCAGCTGTGGTGTGGATCTGGCCTTTAGCTTATTCGCATATCCCTCAATCACATGTTATGGCCTTCTTATCAGAAATGTGTTAGGATCCCAAACTCAGAACATCTCAACATGCCATGAACCTCCACCTTAGAGCCACCTACCTACTGTTTGTAACATGTGAGTTTACGCCAAAAACACATACATAAATAATCAGAACTTTGGCATCTGTTGTGACCAATGCTCGTATTTAACTCTTTATACTAACTCATTGTGCAACTGCACCTCTTCCTGCTGTAAGATCTTCTACCGACGGTACCTGATTACACTGTTCTGAGATGCCGGGCTGTTTGGCTTCCAGGATACTAATGAGACCAAGTGGGTGAGGACATGGCTTTTCCTGGCCAAACTTCTGTCTCTTTCATGAGCTACAAAAGATGTCACCTCTCCCAACTTTGTATTTCAGAACTCTTTTTAGAAATTTAGGCCCTGAGCTCTCTTCTGTTCCCACTGTCACTTCCTCACCCCTCTACCCTCCACTTAGGAAGAACAACCGTTAATGAAATGGCTACCCAAAATGCACGGGATAGAGGGAACAACAAGCCCATTTCTCTTTTGTCCTCACTTGAATGCATGATTAGAGGGCTCGGTGGGCCTCTGGGATGAAACCCCAAACAA